GCATCGGAAAGCTTAAAGAAGATATATCAGGATCGTGCAGAAATATAAGAAACGTCGATTCTGTCTTGAAGACAAGACTGAGGAGAGCATGAAAGTACAGAAAAACTGATTAATTTAACGTATAATTGTATTTTTTTCTTTCGACATTAATAATGACTATTTTCTTTCCTAGACGAGACTCGTGAAAAATGGCGAGAATATAATTTTTCATGCTGTCGTAATATTTCTTATATTAATGCTTATACTTTTAAGGAATGCAACAAGAGACGCTAAACTGTTTTTAATTATTTTGTTAATTATATTCATGTTTTTTCTCTTTTATGTCTTGCGAAAAGTATCTCAGTTTTTTCTAAAGTAATTTCCTTGAAGAAATATCTGTTAAATTTTAGAAAATATATATATATATATATATATATATTGTAATTACATCAAATGGGCAATAGGACATTCTGATTGCATTTCTAAACGAGTGGTGCTTGCAATCACTTGATCGATTCCGTTGACAGGCAGGAGTTCAAGAATCCGAACAGAAGTGGTATATTATATCGGCGTGACAAAACGCAATACACAAGGAAAGGCTTTAGACAAAGCGCTCATTGCGAGTGCATTGGATTGCACATGCACCTTTTGTTCGCGGCACACGTGAGTCATTTGGCACGTGCGCACTTCGAGAAGAAACGTCATTGCGCAGTCGTCACGGATCTACCGCTTGGCGTCTTTTCGCTAAAAGAGAAACTAACTTTATTTTAAACATTGAACATCAAGTAAAGGCAATAAGAAAAGATAATAAGCAAGACAAATTTTGTGAAAGTTATAGCCAATTATCGTCAAAATGCAACGGAAATTAAAACTTCCGCGAGAAAAAATTTATCTCTAAAGGGAGAAAAAATTGTACACAGAGAAAATTAATTTTGTAAAAAATAATATTTGAAAAAGAAAATATTGAAAACCACAAAGAAATTGTAATATCGAAATATCGTGAGGAAACATTTATTTAACCGCGCGGTTACCAAAGAAAAAAATAAACACAAAAATAAAAATAATTTTTACAAAAATCAGTTTGCAGAAAAATATCGGAGCACATCGAGAAAATAAATATATGAAAAATTGCAAGAAAAACATTTAATATTTTTCTGACGAAGTGAGACGATCTTAAAATAAAGATACAACTTCCGAAAAGAGAGATAAAAAAATGTGCATGTGAAAAATCAACAGTTGCATCGCGAGGGAGAATTATTATATCTATATCAGCGTATCGAGGACATCTCGGTATCTTGTCCTCAGGGCGCTCTCCTTGAATCTCCGGAGCTCGGAGCAGAGGAGATCGGGGGAGATCTCGCTCTCTCTCCCACCATTTCCTACCTCGACCAAGTTATTGGATACCGACGCGGCGTGCGCTGCGCGCGACAGCAGTGCGCTAAGCGAGCGAATGCTGACGACGACGTGAGCGCGCCAGCTGTAGTACAGTCATAGTCGACATGGCAGCGGATTACGACGAGTGAGATTGTGTCGACGGGTGGTTTGGCGGGCCGGAAGGAGAGAGAGAGAGAGAGAGTGACAGAGAGTGAGATAAAAAGTGCGGAAGAAACAGACGATAAAGGCGGAGAGAATCTCTGCCGGAGAGATAAAGCCGCTCTCGCGCGAGCGAAGAAAGCGGCGTCGAGTCGCTTCGCGTCGCGTTGAGCGTGCTCGAAAATAGAACGCTGTTTTCAGCGAAAAGAGAGGAGCAGGCCGCAGGGAGAAGTAAAGGGGTGCTCGAGAGAAAGAGAGAGAGAAGAGCGATTGACGGTTCGTAGAATGTCGCGCGTGTCACTCAACAAGTCGCAGTACAGCCAGTACGGCTCGCGTCGCGTCCGCAAAATCAGCTCGGTACGGTTTGTATATCGCTTATGATTCTGTGTTGGTGCTTGTCGGTTATATGCAAAAATCTCTGTCCCACCCTTCTTCCTTCCTTTCTACCTTGCCACTCTCAGTCTCCTGCTGTACTACTGGAACACAACGATCTCATTTCCCGACTCGTTTATAGCCGGATACGACCCTGCGATAGTATGAGACTACCTGAACAAGATTTTGCAAAGCACTCGAAGAACGTGCAAAAAGAATTACGTCCTTTGAAAATGCTTTGTCTCGTGATCCCTTTCACGTTACTCTATTGTACATGAGGATAAACGTTAGGGACACATTTGTTGCGATCAAGGAAGATTTTCTGGTAAAACTTTGATGTTACAAAATCGATGCATTCCTGCGTATTCTATATATCTTATTTTTTCATATAATTTTTACATAATCTACTAAGCCGTTTAATTCGCGTGAATTTTTATGTAGTCTCTTGGGCGGATGATAATCTTTTTTTTTTATGCATCGTCTATCATCGCTGGCGCAGTCGCACAGTGCCGTGGGTTCTTTAAGGAAGGTGACACGTGACAGTCTCTCTTGGCGGTCGGCTGCCCGTGACGAGAGGATACGTCGTTGCATTTGTACGCACGATCCGTAAACGCACTTTGCGTATACGCATTACAATAGCACGTAACACAGTAATATCGTGCTAAAAAACAAGGTCAGATGCGAGCGTGAGCGATTCTCACGGTGTGAGCTTCGCGCCTCTTGTCGTCGGGTGGCGCGATCGGAATGACAGCGCGCGATCAGCTGATCAGCTGTGACCTTCCGTTCGGCCAAGTCATCCGCGCGAACGCAAACGCGAGAACACACGCGCTGCATTTAAATTCGTCTTCGCGACCGCGATACGCGAGGTCGTTGTTCCAAATTCATAATGAAACTAATTAATAATAGGGAGGACTGTAATTAATTATATATGCAACGTAATGAGATATATACGGATATATAAAAATAGATGAGCAGAGTAATCTATCTTTATAAAAAATGGCATTACACTTTCACACAATTTTTGCTCATTTTTTCCTATTGACAGTTACTAATAATGACTAGATATCACTGAAAAATTAGTCTTACAATACTATAATTTTGTTATTAAATAAATTTTTAAATTAGAATATTAATAATTAAAATAATCGCTTAACTTCTCTGATTTCTGAACATTCAAAATAAATTCGAATGCTATATATTTTCATTGATTTTCATAATTCAATAATCACGTAATTATATTGTAGAATACCTATAAATGTTAAAATGTTGTCGATTAATCGTACCGCGCGTAGGCGCAGTTCGATATTTCCCCTTCTCGATTATTACGGTATTAATATCTCCATATTAAAATGTTGTTTTTTTATTAAAGTCTCTGATACGATGCAATTATTATTTGATTGAACATAGTGAATTAATTAACAATAGAACTGAGATGTAAATTAAATAATATTTAGTTGCTAAATAAATATATTTTACATACAGCTTCGATAGCAAATCCTTTGCTATTTGCTTGTAAAAAATTCATTGAATCTCATTGTCAAATACGAAAAGTTATATCTATAAATTTTTATTTTTATTTATTATACTATATAAATTTGATATGATTATAATTAATAATAAGTTAAAAAATAATAACATACATAATATACTTCAGAAAAAAATCACAAAATTTTAGGATATATAACACTTGACAAATAAACAAAAAATTTTAATAAAATTTTTATAATTATTTATTAAGTCATCGTGTATTTGTCGTTATAATATCTTATAAATTTGTCGTTATGAAATCTCATAAATTATATAGATTCCAATTGTTTGGAATGCCAAAAAAAAATAAATGCTGATAGATTTTCTATTACGTTCTTAACAAGATTCGTTTATCTAAGAAAGCATGTCTTTAATAGAAGTAATTTATACGATGTGTTTATATAACACACAGATAGCGATCCTATCGCGATATATCCTATCTTTATCGTCACTTTTCTTTATCTCAATAAACATTAGTTTTAATACACACATTTATATTAATATTTTTCTTTTTTCATGTGTATAATAAAAAATTTTAATTGCGTTTCTTGTTTTTTTATTTTAATTAAAAATATCATTTTTTCATATAAAAAAAACTAATAATTTAGCCATAAATCAAATTATATTATTAGAAGAAACGCAGTTTGAATCGAAAATTTTCTTTTCAATTTAATCCTAGCGATACATTCTACGTATCACCTTGACTAGATGCAGCCTTAGAAACCGATTAAGTAACAATAGCTATTTAATATCTATACTCTATGTTATGATATCATCCTACCATCATATTATAGCACACAGCGTTGTTTTTGTGTTATCCTCTGCGATAATTTCAGGAGCATTATTAACGAAATCGTTATCGAGACGTGACATAATATAATTTTGCAATGTAATTTTTAGAAATTTTTCTTATGTGTAAAAAATTATTGATTTTAAAATACTTATTTACGTTATATTTAATTCTTTAATCGAAAAACTATCGCCTTTTATTGACAATGAGTGTGATAAAAAAATCTAATCGACAACATTTTGTAAGTCAGCGATTACGAGAAATAAATATACGCTTGTTTGTGCATCGTCTCGAAAGGAGGCTTTTTCTTAGAGCATTCAAGGTGAACTGCAAGTCTCATTCAAGGCGAATGCAGCACGTTCGTATTACGAAGTATAAGATAGTCTTCAATTATATGCATTTTCCAGTTTTTCTGCGAAATTATTATATATGAAATTCAGATACATAATATGTATGTATGTTGTGTCATAAAATAATCGACATTAAATTACTAGAGCATTAAAAAGATTGAGTTGCGAGATAAATAGTAAGAGTTATAACTTGCATCAGTTTTTGTCCAATTTTTACAATGTAAAATGAAAGATTATGTGATATGTGGTAACGAAATAAAAGTAAACAACTGAAATTAATATAAATTATTCTTTTTTTCCAAATGTTGTTTATATATGATATATAAGAATTATGTTTTAATAAATAAAAGACATTCTCGTACACAAAATTTTAGAAGAATAATATTTTCAAAATGCATAAAATTTATATAAATTTGTAAAAAAATAAATTATTGTTACGCTTTTTTCAGACGGAAAGCGAATATTCTGTAGAAGAGCAAGCGAGATTAACGGGGACAGATGGACCGGGTGGCGATGAAGCTTCGCCGGAAGATGAGGGAGGTTCGCTTTGCGAATACCACGATATACCACCCCCACCTGACGGTGGCTACGGTTGGGTGGTGGTATTCGCATCGTTTATGTGTAACATGATAGTGGACGGTATCGCCTACACGTTCGGCGTTTTTCTAGGAGAGTTTGTTAAATATTTTGGGGAAGGAAAAGGCAAGACTGCTTGGGTCGGTTCGTTGCTATCTGGAATGTACCTTAGCGCTGGTAAAATATACATAATGTTTCTCAAAATCTTGCACTGAATTTTCAAACGTATATAAGATGTAATAAAAAATATTTTAACACTTGCTATTTTTTTTATAAGAAGTTAATTTTTCTTAACGAAAGTTTGGTTTATATATAAAATAAATAAAAAATTATTTTCTAATAAATTATCTTTTAATCAATTGTATCTCAGTGAAAGAAAATTGAATTAAGATTTTATTATAAATAGGACTTATTTTGATAAAACTCGTACAAAAATCAAATTAAATATATGTATATGTATATAAAATAAATGTGAAATATAATTTGATTAATTTTTCTTTGTCATAGGCCCCGTCGTCAGTGCTTTAACGAATAAGTATGGATGTAGAGCAGTATGTATGGCAGGGAGTTTCTTAGGCGCCGCCGCATTTGTACTTTCAACATTTTCAAGCAGTGTAAATATGCTTATGATAACTTACGGTATTATGGGAGGTACGTATAATAATTTACACATTTTCCGCGATTATTTGCGCGATTGTTACGCCTCGCCAGTTTCTCTCTGGTTCACACCTACATTGCTTTTTTAGGACTTGGATTTGGTTTGATATATCTACCTGCAGTAGTTTGCGTAGGCTATTATTTTGAGACCAAGAGATCCTTAGCTACGGGTATCGCGGTATGCGGATCGGGATTCGGCACGTTCGCGTTCGCGCCTCTCGCGACTCTGTTGCTGGAAACGTACAGCTGGAAGGGAGCAAATCTAATCCTGGCTGGCCTCATCTTGAATTGCGCAGTAAGTAAACAGTGAAATTTTTCACTCGCGCTACACCTCGCTGCTTTGCTTATGCAAGAGTAACACAACGCAATTAGATTAATCAAAATAGTATGTCTCTCGTATATCTGATAATTCTAACAGATGATTTTTAGGTATTTGGTGCCTTGATGAGGCCTTTGGAATATCCAAAAGCTTCCTCTGTTAAGCCATTGTTACAAAGAATGGCCGAAGAGAAGAGATTTCAGATGGAACGAGGCAGCATCGGTGGCTCTTATTTTATGGTGCAATTGCCGGACGGATCTATGGAAAAGAGAATGAAAATGCCCATCAATATTGATCCTGGTGTTCATTCCAGCTTCAATTTAGACCAATTAGTGCCTGGTAAGAAATTCCCTGGCGATCAATTTCTCTTTCGTACATCCCGTTATGATTGTGAAAATGGCGTAAGTCATAAAAATATATAGGAACATACAGTTAATCGTTGTTTATCGTAATTTATTCTGAGAATCGAAAATTACTGTGTATTTTTCAATTAATCATTCAGTTATATAATATACAAGATATTCTTAAATATATATAAAAATAGAAAAATATTTTAATTAATATGATAATTTTTTATTATTAAAAAACATTTAATAAATATTTTTCAATTTTATATAATAAATTTATAATAAAATTTATAATAAATAATTTTAAATTATTAAATGTATCATATTATTAAAAAATGTTTTTAATATAAAAAAAATTTAATTATCTCAAAATAAAAATATGTGACTTGCATCGTTTTTATAATGATGGGCACGTACATTCCTTAAATAATCGAGATAATAAGAAGTATTTTATTGAATACCCATAATATTAAAGGAACTCCTTTAACACCAGTTCCAACGGTGCCAACCCTCCCGACTATATCCGAAGTGAAGGTACAAGAGCACTCTTCCAGTGGACACACTAGCGATAGCGGCAGCATGGACTTAAAGAATATTTCGAATAAATCTAAAAGCAAGAATATCGACGAAACCAAAGACACCAAGGACGCGGAGAAGCCCGAGAATGAATTTAATAAGACGATAATCCCCAGAAACGCATCGCAGCCGGCTTTCACGACCCATGTTCAAGGTTTGCCTAAAAACGGCTCTGTGCCATTCTTCGATAGAATCCGTAAAGCGAGTACCGGTGAGCGCTACAAGCCTAGCCTTAGTGCAATAAAGAACTCTAGGACAACGCTTAACTCTAATGGAGACATCAGAAAGAGCTTGCACCTGAGACTTTCCACGAGTAGTATGCTGGGATCGCGAAATAATAATGCAGAAGTTGATGTAAGTTTATACATTATTTGCAGATTTTTCATCGAAACATTGATTAGATTTATACTGTTCATATATTGCTAGACAAATTAATTGTATATTTCTTTGTTAATCTAATAATAATAATAATATGCATTATTTGTTTGTACTAGGATGGTGAGAGTATTACTTTTACTACAAGTAAAACTAGTATCCCAAAGGAAAAACCAATGATGGTCCGTCCCTTATCGAGAAAGGATATTTTCTACAGTGGTAGCGTAGTCAATTTACCAGAATACCAAAGTCAAAAATCTCTCGCCAATTATCGTCAGAGTGTTATATCTATTCCTAAATCTGTACGTGGAGACATGAAGGACATTGATATGGAAAAAGGGCAACAACGTATGTATATATATATGTATATTCTTTCTGATATCAAAATTCAATCTAATCAAATATTATTAAAATTCATTATTATTAAGTATATCTTCAAATCATACTAAATATTATTATTTAATGTTAAATTTTAAATATTATTTATTAAATATAAATGATTAAAAATTTATTTAATTTTAAAAATTTCAAAAAAATTAATGTCCATTAATTAACATAAATTTTAATTTTTAGAACCTTTATGTCCTTGCTTGGTAATACCTGAATCGTTTAAGGAAGCTCTAGCGACAATGATGGATATGTCCTTATTGAAAGATCCTGTTTTCCTTTTAATTGGTATTAGCAACGTGTTTGGTATGGCTGGATTATATGTTCCTTTTGTATATCTGGTGGATGCTGCGGTCTTAGATGTACGTGATTCATTAATTTTTACTATATCATTATATCACGTTGCATGATATTATGCATTCAACTATGTCGTTCTTTTTTCTTTTAAGGGAATTGAAAGCAATTCTGCGTCATTCTTATTATCTATCATTGGAATAACGAATACTATAGGTCGTGTGGCTTGTGGATATGTCGCCGATTTTCCGCAAGTCGATTCTTTACTGTTAAACAATATTTGCTTAATTATATCTACAATCGCAGTAGCCGCAACGCCATTTTGCCATAGTTACGCTGCTTATATTATCATGAGCATATTTTTCGGAATAGCAATATGTAAGTATCTCTACTATATAATTATTCAATATGTATAATCTTTCGACTAAAAATTATTTTAAGTTTTTAAATTGCAAATTTTACCTAAAATTTAATATTTAACATTTTATCCTTGTTTTTCATATATATATATATATATATATATATATATATATATAATTTTATAATTTTTCAGCTGGGTATATCTCATTAACATCAATTATTTTGGTGGACCTTTTGGGATTAGATAAATTAACGAATGCTTTCGGCCTTTTAATTCTATTCAGAGGGGCTGCCGCAATAGTTGGCTCACCCTTAGCGGGCGCTGTTTACGACGCGACGCAAAGCTATAGCATCCCGTTTTTCATGGCAGGGTTTTTCTTCCTTGTAAGCACTATTACTAGTTTCATGGCCCCTGCTATGAAACGGTGCACTACACCGCAGGTAAAAACGTAATTTATATTAATCTTTTTTTATTTAGAATTATTTTATAAAAATTAATTAATTATATATGTTCAGCATATTTAGCAGAATTTAATTCTGAATATAATCATTTTTTATTTTTACGCCCGATAATTGACGAATTATTTGATTTGTTGCAGACTCAACCTGTGATATTAGATACATTGACTCCAATCGACGAAGATATCGAGGAAGAGAACGAGGAGGATTTACCGGAAATAATAGAAACCGCGCCGTCACCCTTAGAACCACCCGAGAAGGAAATCAAGCAAATAGAATCTGTTTTATAAATATTTCTGATCTTTTTTAAACGGATAAAAACCGCCTTCACTCCGAGCCACACTGTGATAGGGCTGCTACTTTAAAGTCTCAAAAACGTACTTCTTTGTTACATACTTAATCGATAAAGCACAAATTAGTGGCATACCTGGTGGAATTTTTATACTTACTTACGTACTTAGATTTGTACAACTGTATATGTTTTTTGTTTTAGTTTTCTTTTTCTATTGAAAACCGATAAACATTATATATATATATGAAATCCCATCAGGTATACTTAGTTGCCTACGTGTAATAGTAAAAAAAATGATAGAGCGTTTTATTAACCTAATCAGTATCGATCAAGCAGTATATATATGTATAGAGAGAGAGAGGGAAAAAATATTAAACTAAAAAAAATGCTCTTATACCGTGCATATCGAATAATTCTGAATAAATTATTAATCTGCATCATAGGGATATAATATTAAATAATTTAAAAATGATATAATACACAATTGTATATACAAGGATCGGTCAACGCGTCACTTGATTGGACTCGCTCGTTTTAATCATGAGGCTTGATAATGTATACACGAATAAAATCTATGTATTCTTACTTTATTAATTTTTAGCGTACATATTTTTATTTTATGAAAGTAACTCTTGTATAAAACAACGACAATGTATTTTAGTCTAATCAATGTACAATTGACCATCCTTATCATTGAAAGATCCCACCTATGATCTATCGTGTTAGTTAAATCTATTTTTGGCCACATCCAAAGATGCAACTTGAATTACTGACAATTCAAAGAGATATTTTCTTGCATACTTGCGACAAATATATGTATGAATATACGTGTGTGTACGTACGTACGTGCATGTATGCGTGTTTTGTATGTGTTTGTGTGTACATATGCATATATATATATTTTATATGTATATATACATATATAATATAATATATAAAATATTCTATATGCAAAAGGAAGAATGTGAATTATGAATTTACATGCAACAACTGTATCGCTGTGTTGCACAGGATAAAATGTAAATAATTTATAGAGAATTATAACATGATATTGATAATAACGAACTTTAGAATTAAGTCAAGTGAAGTTATAAGTTTTTCGCTCGCTGGGAGATCTCGCAGCGAGACTTTGCTATTAATGTATTCGTTAAGGGACAATTAATGCATTGTTAGGTAGACTAAATAATCAATATTGATTATTCGAAACACAGAATTCTTATTTGATCAATGTATAAAATTACGTCTCGCCTGTTAGTTTGTATTATAAATAGATTTAATCTAGTGGATGAAAACTGACCGTGGCGTGTAAGATATAGCACTTACCAAGCACATTAAGTAATACAAAACTGAAAAACGGACTGTGACGTGTCCCACGCGATATGTTAAGCGATTGTAAACGTTACTTGTGCGAAAATTATATGTAACTAATTTTCTTACGGCGGCGAAGATCATTATTGGACCGATATAATTTGCGTATATACGCCTACAGATGTACACACAATAAACACACATATATGTGCGTGTATATATATATATATATATATATACACGCACATATATGTGTGTTTATTGTGTATATATATATATACATACACATATATATAACATTATTATGTATGCGATTCTATATGCATATAACATATAGATTAAGGAACTTGTTGTAAATCTTGTTGAATGGTAAAAGAATACGCATTACACGGGGTATTCACAATTGTATATATGATTTCGTAATGATTAATTATATTTATCATTACACGCGTGATTGCTAGTAAAAAGAAAAAGGAAAAAGAAAAGACGAGTTTTGCTAATAATGTGAGAACCAACAGTGCTATTACACTATTCGCCACCGCTGCTGCTATCGCTATTGTCACACTTTTATCACACACACGATTAAAATATTACCGTAGTACAATTGCGCAAACGCACGTTACTTACGTTCCCGTTTCACGATTTCGTGTTGCGCGGGGCGGGAAGAAAAGAAAAGGGGAGGAGAAATTGTGTTTTGTCGTTACAATCAAACGAGACTACAGGTGTGCATCCACATAAAGATGCGTGTATGCACGCGTGCACGCGCGCGTATCACGACGAAAATCCCCTGCGGAACTTACATTATATTATTAGAATATATAAATAGTATCGATACACACACACACACACACACACACACGTATATATATATATATATATATATATATATATATATATATGCGCGCGTGTCGCGTGACATTTCGCACGCGTATGTTCAATATGTATGTACGTGCGAGACGTAGGAGGCGTTATGTGACATCTTATGTGCGTTAGATGTACAAGTGGCATGCGTGTGATATGCGTGCACACGCATACGCAGAGAGATATTGTGGCGACGCGCGCAACGAGCAGAATATATATTATTTTGAAAAAAGACGAATATTGAGATTTATATTTATTATGTATTATTAAGAGAGATAATATCAATAATTACACCCATACATATACATATATCATATATGTATTATATATACATATATGTATATAATATTAAATATAAATTAAATCCAATTAAAAACTTTACTCCAAAATTTTTTTTTCTTCGCTAAAGCATTAAAAAATATAATTGTATAAAGGTATTTTAATTATATTGCTATGTAATTATATTATATGTTAATGGCTGAAAATCTTTTTTGTACACGCGCAAATGTATATCCATATACGAAGCGCCTGATAATAGTAAGAACAAATGTTTGGAGTAAATGTTTTTTGTAATTACACGTGATTCGGTTAAGAAATCGAAGGATATAAATACGCGCGAATTTATGATTGAGGTGTGCTATAGTTAACTAACAAGCATCACACTTCAAAAGCCCTACCCTCGATGAACATCACACTGAAATCCAACAGATTCTGCAAGCTCAATCACCCGCTATCTTTCTTTGTTTCATCTAAGATTAGATTTTAAGGGATATATGACAAGTAATACCTAAAGAGAAGAAAGAGAGAGCATTTTTTCAGTGGGCAAAATATTTTTTCGGTAAATATCTTGAAAACTTTACAACTCGAGAGACACGAAAAATATTTATGAATTTTATGAAAGAGAGATTAAGCTTTCTTAAGATGGGGATAAGCCATATTTTCTAAAGATGGGGATCCACAATATATATCAAATCCTATAGTGTGATGTTTTAGAATCAGATGAGAGCATAGCATCACCAATAGATAGAACGTTTAGCGCGAATATAATACCGTAATGGCTACTAAATATGTTAGTATACATAATAACACGAACGTTATGTTAATGCGCGTACACAAACTCGCTAATATGAAACCAAGCAAATTATTTCTCGAAGATCCGTCTGCTCACAACATCGGTCCACGTTCTCGTATATATAATTCAATATATAGATTGCCGCTTACTGCCACACTACTCTCTCCGTGTACGAGCGTAAAAAAGGAATACGTACGCCCTACTCCGTACGTATGTTAAACATATGATATGGTACAAAGAAGGACAAATGTATTAGGTAACGTTTATCGAAAATTGAGAAGAGGAATTATGACTTTTTATTATTGAAAGACTTGTGTTTATTTCATGCACCCCACACATATATATCCACCACTATCCAAGAAAAAATAATTTTTTTTAATATGTCAATTTTCTTGAATCATGTGATTTCATATATAACATGTAAATATCAAAATTACTTTGTTGTGAGTAAATAACACAGATCGAAAGTAAATTATCAGCAATAAATTAATGTATCAATTTATATTATGTTATATTGCTGCGAGTTTTATTCCTGATATATTATATTATCGAACAAGCCCTTTCGATTTGCTATTGCATGATTATTGGAAATATTGATGTTAAAAGCGGAATTTTTTTCTCGCTGTATACGTTAAAGCAAATTAATTTTTTACGCGACTGATATTTAATATACGTTTACGGAGAATTATTTTTGATCGGTGAATCAACAGATAATCATTAAATCTCGCAACATTATAGCTATTACCTCTGTCACAAAATACGTACATAAAGATTATACAGCTATAAATTATATATTTATCAATTTAAAAAAATTAAATAGCCTGATACATTTCTTAAATAAACTAATACATATAATATTTTATGGAATAAATAATATATTAATAATTGTAATTTTCTTTGTGATACATTACGTGATAGTATTTATTCTTTAGCTGTTTGGAGATGAGGAAATAACCCTTGTTATAAATTTATTATTATGATTATATACACTAATTAGTTTTCTAATTAGTAATTCTATAATTTGTCCGTAAATCAAATCCCGTGTATATAGTCGTAAAATTATTAGTTAAATTCACCTCGCGAGCTATTTCGTAAAAACCAGGAACGAAATATTATTTATTATTAATTTATTATGCTAACGAAATCGTAAACGAGAATACTCATTATCGGAAAATGTATTGCCGTATTACATACATTAACGCGGCAAACATATGTTGAGTCGAGAAGCAATGAGATACTCCGAGGAGGAATCCGAGAATCGCTTATTCTCTCGTTTCTCGCTTTTTTCCTCTTTTCTTGGACGTTCTCAAGAGAGGGATAAGAGTGGGTCCAAGAATTGCATATGACCAAGTAAGTAAACTTGTATACTTTCGTTTATGTGAATAATGCAGGAGGGGGTTCGACGTTGCTGAAGAAATTGCGTGCGGGAGGTCTAGAAAAACGCGGGCAAGATGCAAATCGTCGATTAGCACACCAGGGAAAATTCTACAAGTTACACCGCGCGAGTTGTCCGCCTACCAGTTCTTCTTCTTCATCGTCAACTCTTGAGAGAAAACGTGCAAATGTAGACGTGTCATAAATATATATATATATATATATCTTTTTTGAAAAATAAACGCGAAGGTTTGCGAAGGTGACTGGTGTTGGGTAAAAAAGCGAAAAAACCACAAACTTCCGTGAGTATATAAACGTCTGACGTGCAGAGAAGAATGATAATAATTAATATGACTTATTTTATTCACGCGTTAATTCGTTTTAAGTTTTAACCCATGCGATTAAAAATAAGAACGTAGTAAATTATTCGCGCTTCATATAAACCATCGGCGTGTCGTGGAGCTTGTCGGAGAGAAAGACAAAAAAAACCCTCAAGATTTATTGTTGTTATACAGCAGCACGTGTTTGCGATCGTCTGACAAAATAAAGCGGTAAGTGAGAATAGATTGCATAATAAAATATATTAATGCGATAAAATAATGTATAGTGCACATATTGTGCAATTAACTCTCATTTGCATTCTCCAATAATCCAAAAACTGATGCATATATATTTCGTGAAATTTCAGAAAAAAGATACATGTACTATATTTTTTATTTAAAAAATAAGTTTGAAAAAATGGATGCAATAACGAGTTGATGTAGTTTCTTGAATAATATAAAATATTTCAATTATAAAAATCATTCTTTTACATATATACTAATAATCGAAATTTTATAAATAAAGAAATATTTCATTTATGTACATATTATTTTCAATTGATCTGAAGTAATAAGTTTCTTTTCATTTTTGAACACCTACTTTTAGTGTCATTTATGGTTAATTAAAAAAAATGTTATCTTTCGCTGTTTTTCTTCTAC